AGGAATTCTACCCTACCAGCCTGGCCTTGATTCTGTTCTGCAGGCTTCCAAGTCCAGTTGAGGAAGCGTTAGCTGGTTAAGGCCTCAATTTGTAAGTCTGAACGTAATCGACTCTACTCTGAAGCTGTATCTTGCTGGTAGCTGTGATCATCTTTCTACTGTGCAGCTGAAGTGTGCAGCAGAGAAAAACAGCAAAGTGTAAATATGTAGCCCCTGAATGTTTAATTTCATTTTCATTCCAAAAGCTATTTACAAATGTGTGGTATATATGTAGTAAGGCAGTAGTGTCATGATAATATGCTGCCATGAAATCAACTGCCAGTCTGCCAACTGTTTAACAGAAAAATGATCTGACCATTTAAAAAAAAAAAAAAAAACTGAATGGGGGGAATTGAGGTCAATTCTGTATGTTGGAAAGTGCTTTGGGTTTTTTTTTTTCTTCTGATCTATGCATCTGGGATGTTTTGTAGGTTTCAAGCCTCTCTATTTACTGTTTTACAAGGCCAATAAACATGCAATTTTTCCATTGCTGATATTTCTGATGGTATGTCCAAGAGTAAGGCTTTACACAGCCTTTTCTCAAGGAATGCACTAGTAGAGTACTAGAGGATGTGGCAGAACAACCAAGTTCAGGAACTGAGCTCATACTACAGATCAGATGCTGTGTATGTGTTCTGTAGAGCTGTGAACCTGCTCAGAGCTCAGGCCAGCTGTGCTTATGTGCAGAAGAATTCTGAAGTACTCTAAAGGGAGAAAAGGAGAGTGCATAACTAAGCAGTGCTTGGGCTAATGCTAGGCAGAAGCACTTAATGCTTTTTTCATTTTGCAGCTTAGCATGGGAGTTTGACATGTTTTCCTGTGTGCGGACTCTATTTACAAATATTGGGTATGGAGGCATTTTGCTTAAAAATGAAAGGGTGCAGATTTCATGCATTCAAAACCTATTACAGTGAGATCAGATCTGTTGCTGTCTCACTTTGGAAAAAATGTTTTATTTCACTGAACTCTGCAGAGGTTTTTCCTTTGAGAACACTGCTACAGTTCTTTCTGCTTTAATGGAATTTCAAAACTGCAGGCTAATGCTGCATTTTCAAGTTTCCATGAATAGCAATTGTCCCAATAGGGTTGTCTTTAGTCCTTAGCTGACCCTGCTTAGAGCAGTATGCCACAGAGTTACAGGCTTGAAATGGCTCAGTGTCTGCTTGTGTATGTTGTAGGTATATATGTGTTATGACATAATAGACTTTCCTTTAAGCAAGATGCAAACAGGAGCCTGCCTGAGGACAGGGTTGTTCCTGAAAGGCAATGCAAGCTTGCAGCTATTGTGCAACGGATTTGGATTTTGCTGTATACACTAACATTTGCATATAAGATGCTGGAAGTAGTAGGCCTACAAGTGGGAACAGTTGCTAAAACCTATGGCTCTTTTGACTTTGTTGGTATTTCAATTGGGTCCCATAGACATTTCAATTACTCTGCCCTCGAAGAGAAAGCAGAACAGGTTAAGGCATCTCCTGTGTGTTTACTCACTGCTGTCATTGATCTCTCTTCCCCAGCAGAGAGCTCTGACATTTCACTCAGAAATGCTTCCATGTTCTCTAAGGAGACTGGGAAAGAATCTCTCAACACGAGAGGAAGAGCAGGTAGCCCTGTGACCCGATACTGGGTTGCTATGGCTTTTGTAAACCAGACTTTAGAGCAGTGGGGTGTTTATTGTCAATCCAGGGCTGAAAGGGAGGGAATTTTTCAGGTGTCACTGTAGAAATGTAGTTATAACAGTGAGATTTTTGCTTCAGGGAAAAGCAGGACTTGTGATGAGGGACTGCAAATGCATAAAAGCAGTCCCTGAGTCAAAAGGGCAGTTGGACTCTTTCTATAAAACAGTGAGATTTAATCTGTCTCAGACTTTAGATGGAAAGATCTGCAGTTATCAAGTGATTAAACAGTTGGACAAAATAAATGCATGCATCTTGGCTGTGTGATTTAATGTAATTTTGCTCCTTGTTTAACATACACTAGCTCAGGAGATAGTGCTGCCTTTTCACTCAGGCTTATATGAATGTTATTCCTGTGCAGATTTGGATAATGATCTGCTCCCAAAGAGGGGTAATGGCTGGTATTTTGGAGCAGGTGGAGGAAAATCTGCTGGCTTTGGCAATTTAATATTGGGTCTAAGGGAAACTTAAGACTGAACTGTGATATTCGGGTTGTTCTGCTCTGTCCCACTGTGAAATAACTAATTCGCTGGTTGTTCAACTACTTGTTATACAAACAGAAACCAACATCTAGTTATATAGCTAATCGTCTTGGCTGTGGTTACTTGAGGGAAATCATTTAATACTTCTAGGAGGCCCTTAATACAGGGAAAGAAATTCTACAGCACTAAATGGATCTGTCTCGCTGTGGAATGCATTGATTAGACTGTCAGATGATTGTGCACTGATTAAGAAAGAATTTAAGTATCTATAAATACATTCCTCCAAGAGGACAGAGGAGCACTCTTTGCATCTGAATAGTTTGTACTTAAGAATTCAACTCCTGAAGGAACGTGAAAAAGAAAGACATCCAGGACCTTGAGCCCAGGGAGAGGGAGAGTAGAAAACAAAACAGATGTTTTCTAAGCAAAAGGGTTTCATTGTTAACAAATTATCTGATTAACAAGTTTGAATCTTGAATAAGAAAGTGATATATGTCGCAACACGTCTAGCCAGTGTAAGATGCCAAATGCCAGGCTCTGGGTAGGAAATGCCAAGGGCATCTCCCCATACAATTAGCGTCAGCATTAAAGGATGAGTTAGATCCTACATGTCTGTATCCTATCCAAAGACTTGTTCAACTGAGGAAAATTAAATGGTAAACCCTCCCCCTGGAAATGGTCTCAGAACAGCAGCATTCATGCAGGAATCATTTGATGGGTTCTGCTGGTAAATCTCCAGGAATGGCCATAGTAAAAACATACCCCTGGCACCTTGCTAATGCCTGTTAGACTCTCAGTCACTTCAGGTGGGCTGATTGAGGAAGCTCCCCTGCAAGGAACAATCTGCTAATACATCTTGAAGTTGTTTGCCTTGTCTCATTGATGTTTTATCTGTGTTAGTACGTGTTGGCTAATGACTTTTAGTTTGTTTTTCCTTACTACTAAAGGTAAAGCACCAGAAATTTGTTGCTTTCTACTCTGTTCTGCTCTAAGCACAGGTAAAATGAAAACAGTTATATTAGAGTTAAATCCATACTCAGTCCCAAAGGTAAATCATTTTAATGCTGGAACTTCTTTTGCTATGGTGTAATGACTGGACTTTTTTTGCCTTTTTTTTTGGTCTCATACCAGTGCAATTCATCCAGTTTTGAAGACTTGCACTGAATTAAGTGTGATTGCATACTTGGCTCTACTTTTACACTGGTGCCTTTGGGTAGATGGTTCCTTCTGGAGCTGGACAGGCATTGCCAAACCGCTTGCTGTGAGTGCTTGGCAAAATCTCGCCGTGCCCATGCTCACAGATGCACCAGTGGCTGGCAGAAACATTCCTGGGAATTAAATGCATTTGGGACAGCGGAAAGGGATGAAGGAAAGGAAGGATGAAGTGACAGAAGTGCCATGTTTGTAATCTGTACACCTGCAGTTTTTTATGAAGAGCATGATCAGAAGAGCTAGGCAGTGAGGATGAATTCCTGAGGGTCTTGCAGACAAATTACAAAAGTACCAAAACCGCATAAGCCAAGCTGCTGTTAAGGCATGGTAAGCGTGTACGCTACTCCTCTAAATTAGGTAGTGCTGATTCTTGTTGGATAATGCAACGGATGAAGCAGGTTGTCTTTTTGTCACACGAGGTGTAAATACACCGACCGTGTGTCAGCTTTAGCAGCTGGCGAGGCAGGTCTGTTCGGCTGGTGGAGCTGGACGACGGCATTCCCTGGTGACGGGGATGGTCCCCATTCAGGTCCTTGCTTGGCGAGTTTTCCATGTATTTGGTCTGCTTTGATGCCTCGCACACGGTGTAAGGCTTAGTTCTGTTTAGAAAAGAACGTAAAAGCCAAACAAAATGCTGGGGGTGGGGGGTGGGGGGGGAATGATTGTTATCTTGTTGGGGCTGAAATTTAAATTCTGCTTGGCCAAAATTTAAAACCACTTTCTTCTCTGGCTAACAGCGATGAACAACTCTTACTAAAATTTGGGTTTACAAATACGGGGCGGGGCTGTCCCCCCGAGTTTGGCGCCAGGTGGCTCCCAGCCGTGCGAGGGGAGGAGGAGGAAGAGGAGGACACCCCTTCCCACAAGCCCCTGAGGGCCGAAGGAGCCCTCACAGGGCTCTCCACAGGGAGAGGCGGCCGGGCGGCAACGCCACTCCCGCGCGCCCTTTCCGCAACTGTCCCCAACGGCCCAGCA